ACAGTTCTTTCATGCAGGCCAACAGGAGAAAGCACAACACCTCCCCACAGGCAACATCACACGGCGACAGAGCCAGAGGTCCTATCACTCCTGCTGGTGGCAGCTAGCTGTCTGCAGAGTGATGCTCTGCAATAAGCTGGGGACAGAGACCTGCACAGAAACTTGAGACAGCATTGCCTGGGAAGGGGGTGTCAAAGCAAGCAACTTCTCTGCACAAAAAAATTACAAGGGTGCAGAGGCAATGAGCACACCCAGGGAAGGGATGTGAGCAGCTCTGAGGGCATACAGTCCTTCCAGGGAGTGAGAGCAAACAGACACACAGGAAAGGCCTGCAGCACTCACTCTTCCAGACAGAGAAAGGCGGGGAGATTTTTCAGCTTGCTGCTCAGAGGTAGCATGGCTCTGGTGGTTCAGAAAAGCAATAGCAGAACACACTGAAAACAGGCAGTATGAATCCTGCCTGTGACTGCTTTCTCCTGTGCTGATGCAATGTGTCGCCTTTCTAACACACAGTTCTTTAAGAGATCCAGCCCTTTCTTTAATGCAACAGCACAAACAGCCAACAGAAATGGAAATCTTCAAAACCTTGCTATAAGCCAGATCTGTACTACCAACAACCAATTTATCTGTGGAAAAACAGCATGCATAAAAGAAGAGCTCTCTCTCTTTCCAGCACAATAACCATGTGGGCAGAGGCTGATGGCATCAATAGTTAGACCAAAGCACATCAGGAACAGGAGACCTTGCTCAGATGCAGTGGGCCATGCCAGCAGGATGCCTATCTTGCCCATATAAACTGTGTAGCCACTGCAAGAGCTTGGCCTGACAAGAGCATTGGGATACAGGGAAACTGTTTCCATTCTCCAACCCGGCTTCAAGGAGTGAAGGAAGGGGGGTGAAAACAGAAGAGGGAGAATGGCAGTCAGTCAATTTCAACATGCAAGAGCCATGGGGAGAACAGAAGCCTTTCCAGGACTGCTTAGCAATCATGAGCAAGTAACACATGGGGAGCGTGCAAACAGCCCTGTAAAGGGCAGTGAGCACTGTGCAGAGAAACACGGAGGAAAGGATTCTGCATCTCTCATAACAAGCCAGCCTCAGGCTTCCTGCAGCTAATCTGTATTTGGAGCAGAGGGCAGACACCCAGCTCCACGTTGGAAGGACATGAACTGAGAAGGCAGTGCCAACCACAGGCCTGCAAGCTCAGAGAAAAGCCATTTTATACCGCAAGCCTTTGCTCTACAAGCTTGGCAGTGACTTCGCGAAATCTCACCCTCTCTCTGTTGCAGAATGCATACATACAGATTCATTTCTTTCTCATTCCTTGATTTTTATTTTTCTCCTTTTAACCAACTTTCTAGGCAATGCATCAGGTCTGCCCCCCAACTCAGTACCCTGGACAAGCCAGATGCTTCTGACAGAGGAAGGCTGCAGCAGAAAGGTGCCTTCTGAGAAGGCTGTGCTCAAGGCAGGTCCTGCACAAATCAACTCACCCTATGGACAGGAAGGTGAGGGGTCCATCCCAGTAAGAGCCTGAGCTGTACAGGGCACAGGAGAGAGGACAAGGACTGCAGTTCCAGGCAGCAGGCAGTCCCACAAAGAACACAGAGCTGCCTTCAGACAGGCCACCTGTCCCACAGTACAGTCCTTTGGAGCCAGAGCATCAGGACCAGCAAGACACTGAGATCAAAGTGGCAGAGGGACACAGGGACCCCCAGCTCTCTCTCCCTTCCTGGAAACCTGCATTTCAGTTTCCAGCTCAGCCTGCAAGCAAGCTTGAAGCTCCCCAGGTTCATTTCCAGAGCCAGGAGGAAGAACAGACAGCTCTATTGAGATCAGACATAGCCAAACCTTCCTCTGACTCATTCAGTATTGCAGAGGCCATGGCCCATTCAAGGCTCTGCCATTCCCTGTCCCTCCTCCCCAACACCTTCTCAGCTGTTACAAAAAACCTGAGACCCTGCAGAGTCAGTTCAGGCAGCAGCAAATCTGCCCCTTTGCTTTGCTGTTCCAAGCAGGGCCTCTGCCTCCTTGTGTGAGAGTCAGTGTGGAGAACAAGCAGCAGGAGCTGCTGGATGATGGGGAGGGATGTGTGTGTGTGTGCATCTGCAGGGCTCGACACTGTGGGCTACCCAGCAAGCCCTCAGTGGCAGAAGGCAGGGAAGGAGCAGCCTAAGGGACTGTCACCAAGAATTGCTTGGTTCCCACCCTCTGGAAAGCAGCTGCTAGATTAAAAAAGCCTTTATGGTCCTGGCATTCAAGGACATGGAGACAAACTCCATTTTCCAAACATTCCCATCACCCTGTCTCATCTGTGCACCACAGGAAGCCACGGGAAAGATTCAGTCCCAGCCTCCAGCAAGCCTTATCATCCTTGCCCGTCCCTACCCACGGCAGAGCTCTCAGATGCTTTGATATGCAAATCAGCCACAGGATCCATAACCAGCGCTGTCTGCAATTAACAGCACACGGGAGTACCCTACACCCAGGGCCTCCTCCCTCCCCAAGCACCACACGGCTGCGCAGGCCTCACGTCAGATGACACAGGTCCCAGTTGTCCTGGGTGGGAGCGGGAGGTGCTGCCTGCAGCCCTTGGATTTTCAGCACACAGGCTCAGCCTGGCCACCAGGATGGAGCTGGGGTGCTCACAGAAAGGAGGCAGGCTGGGTTTGCACCTCGGTGTGGATGGGCGGGGGGCAGAGGAGCTGCCGGCAGGATGCTCAGGGGCTCCCAGTGACCAGAGGCTCAAGCAAAGTTTATTTAGCAACAGACAAAAACCAGGGCCTGGGCACTGCCAGCTCTCAAGCTTTCACTGCAAACCTCGGCTACCTGGGATTTTCTGGAAGTTCCAGTGCCCAGAATGAAGAGATTGCGGGAAGATTTTTTTTTTCCATGTAAACAATATAAAAACCCTTCCAAGCAAGTTTCTAGCCCACTTCATTACTGCAGAAAGCTGAAAAATATAACCAAGGATACTTTAAGCCCAGAAAGAAAAAATATTAAACCCCCACACAAACTAGAAGCAAAGCACACTCAGGATTTTTCTTTTCTTGGCTCAACTCATAGCTTCAGAACAATTCAGGATAGTTACACTACGCTCTGGTCAAAAGGCAAGAAAATGGAGCATTGCAAAGCCTTGTGGTGATGCCTTCTTGACATGAAAACTGACACCCCCAGAAAATACAGTAGCTTCAGTTCCTTCCAAGGTTACCAAAGACAGGAACAGACAAAAATAGAGCAAACTTATTGCAACAAAACATACTTATGAGTCAAACCAGAGCCTCTTCCCAATCCCCTCAAAGGCACGTTCTTTCATGTTTATTTTGCTCTTATGGTATCCAGGTGAAGACTGCAGAATGGACTTCTCTCCCCATAAAGAGAGGGTATTCCTACCACTAAAAGGCTCAAGATGAAAAAGGCCTTCCTCGGTAGATACCAGCTAATTGCAGTCATTAGAAGTAATGCTTTGCTATTTCTGGTTGAATGGAGTCCTCCTGGAGTCAGTTACGAGCTGAGTGGTCAGCTCTGCGCTCTCTCAGCAGCATTAAGAGTAATAAAAGCTATTAGGGACTGAACAGTGTCACTGTTTGGAGGGGAGGGGAACTGGTCCCCGCCACGCACTTGCAAAGGCTCTGCCCCACACTCAGGTGGGGCACCGGTGGCACCACCCAAAAGGCGCCTGAGCCATGCAACCCTTCAGCAGCTTTGCGACCGCCGCTAATCGGATGTTCCTGCCCCACAGCCCATGGCCTTCCAGACAATGACACTATGGAGCAGGACACTTTCACAGTAACAGACAATTCCAGGAGAGAAGGGACTCCTCTAGGACTATGAACAACTAAATTAGTCACCCTGAGCACACAGTGACAGGCTTTTTGTTTCTAACTTCTACTATCGAGATGAGCAAGGGAGGGAGGTGCCCAGAACCTCAAACTGCCAAAACACCTGCTCTCCATCTAGCTGAGAGCTACCAAACCTGCTGAGAACACCAGGCTGACTGCAGCCACATTGCAGATTTTTGGCGTGATGCCCCCTCCAGCAGGTAGCTACATAAAGGGTGCACTCTGTAGAAGGAGGAAAAAAACATGGCTTGCTGATGTGGAGGGGTTGGCGACCGAGACAAGAGCAAAAAGGGACTGCTCAGCTATCTGGCCAGGGATATGAGCTGTATCCGACAGCCCTTTGTCAAGTATTCCAGGGGAGGATAAGCAGGAAAAACTGGGCGCTACTCCCACCACCCTTGGAACATCCCTCCTGCCACCCCGCTGCTCGGCTTCACAGCGGTGCCTGCAGGGGCGACGCACAAAAGCGCCGACCGCAGGAGAGCCAGGCGCGCCGCGGGCAGGGGTCCGGCCACCCCCGGGGTGCACGAACCCGGTTACCCGACAGCAGCCGAGGCGAGGGACGGCAAAGGGGGGACAGAAAGAAGCCCCGGGCGGCCTCGGGGCGGCGGGCGGCCCACGCCGCTCGGGCACCGCGCCCGCCCGGCCCGGCCTGAGGCGCCGCCGCGGAGCCCCCATCCCCGCCGGCACCAACCCTGCGGGCCTAAAGCAGCCGCGGCCGCCGCACTCCGCAGTGCCCCAGCTCCCGCCCGCTTACCGGCGGCTCCTTACCCCGTGTCAAGCGCGGACGGGCTCTCCCCGGGCCGGGCCGGGCCGGGCGCTGCGGCACCGCGCTGATCCCCGCCGCCCTCGGCAGCGAGCGACGACCGCTGGGCTCGGCCGAGTCCGGCACGGTTCGGCTGGGTTCGGCTGCGCTCGGCGGGGGGCGGGGCCCCGGCAGTGGGCGGGGCGCGCAGCCGCCGGCTCCGCACAGCGGCGGGGAGGTGGGGCGGCTGCGGC